AATTTCAAAGATAGGTCCTTGCCGAAAACCATTGTTGTTTCTCATCTTAAATAAGTGAGAAGAGAGACGAAGTTTTGAAATATTGGAATTTTCCCAGAACCTTACCTTTATATTTCAAAAAACGGGTAGTCAGGGGTCGGTAGAAAAATTATCGCAACCATTTTTTTTCGATTGAACCCTTCGTCTCAGATTTGTTAGAGTATTTTTTAAGAAAAGTTTAAACGTTTTATAAAAAGACTCTAAAAACAGTCAGAGGCTCAAAAACTTCACCTTCGATATGCTTTTTTTTGCTAAACATAAGCAGAGAATTTTCCAAAAGCGGGTTTCTTGAATCACCACTTAATCTAAAATTTGGCAGGTTAGTTTTGGTGAAAAGTCAAAAAGTTTACATAAATAACCATTATTTCAAAAATTTCTTGAAAGCAATTACTTTTTTCTTGAAGACAATTAATGTATCTGTTTTAAAGGCAGGTTTTCAACAACCTGTTAATTCAATTCAACCCTTGATGACACAAATGTGACATCATTGGTCACAAATCTGCCCCCACAAAATCACAAAATATGACTTTCCGAGAATCAAACTTTTTTCTGTAAAATATTTTCAGCTGAGTTTCTTATTCAGAAGAGATTCACAATGCCTGTAATTTTGATTGAACCCAGAAACTCAGATTTCTCAGAATAAATTTTAAGAAAAGTCGAATAGTTTTAAAAAACGGTAAATGAGAACAACAACTGACTTTTCCGTGAATCATAGCTGTTCATAACCAAAAAAAAAATGTGCATAGCAACTAATGCAGAAGAGATATTCAAGCAAACTGTATTGTTGATTGCACCCAAAAATTTAAATTCGGAAGAGTAGTTCGTGAAATGAACTCAAAAATTTCTAAGAACGGTAAAAAAAATCAAAATTTTGACTTTTCCGAGGGCCATAAGTTTTTGTGTCTGAAAATTTGGGTGTAATCGCATTTGCAAAAAACATTCCCGTAACCCGTTTTGCGGATTGAATCCAAAATCTAAGATATGAAAGTGTAGTTTTTGAAAACCAAAATCAAAAAGTTATAAAACAACGGCCAAAAAAATTTTAAAATGGGAGGATGATTATTTACCAAATTATGAGGATAACTTTGAAGGCGATAACTTTTCGTGTAAGAAAGTTTGTGGGTAGCCGCAAATGCAAACGAACTTTCTACTATTTGTTATCTCCATTGAACGCACAACCTCGATTTTGGGAGGGTCTTTTTGAAAAAACTAAAAAAGAAACTCAAAGTACGTTTCAAATGTTCCGCCACAGATCTTTCGAGTCTAAAGACAGAGGGGTAAAGTAAAAAGAGACTACTGGGGTAAGGAGGCTTGAAAGGAGGTAAGATCTCTTTTCATTGATATCACTTTTTGAAAATTGGTAGAAAATATAGTATGAAAAAACTACTGCAAAAAACATAAATAATTTTTCCAAAAAGTCAACACAAAATAAAAAACCTAGTCCCAAATTTTTCAAAATTAATGTTTTTGTCAAACTAGAATTATGGAAAATTATGCCGACAAGAAATTCATTTTTGAATTAGCAACAATAAAAATTAGGACGAAATCATTAAAGCCGAAAATAGTTTCCATGCACAAAAAAAAATTAAGGCTAGTAAAACTAATTATCTACATTGGAAATTGCGCACAAAACAATCAATTCTAAGATGTGCCAACTAAGCCGAAAAATACTAAGCAATAAACAAAAGGCCGACACTTTTTTGGAAAGGATTATTTCCAGTTTAAGAAAAATAGTTCCTGGTCAGATTCGAACCCACGAATTGTGCCGTCTCAGGCGTATTCTCCACCTCCAGGCTAAGTGCCGGACCAGTATTGAAAATCGAATTCTTTAGGAGCCAAATTCGAGTGATTCAAGTGATTCTGTTAAACAAGTTGTTAACCCGAAAACAAGTCTAAATTCCAGCAAACGTAATCAGATTTCAAAAAATTGTGCCATTGCACATTATCTTCTTACCGATCTAAATGCTGATGCTTACTTTCCGCTTGCCCTTTAAAAATGCCCATTTACCGCATATGGAACGTAGAAAACAGACTGATCTTAACAAAATCAAATTTACCACAAAAATACTCAATTGAAAGAGGCTTTCCGTGTTCAATTCTCGTTTCTCGTTTTGTAGTTAGACCACACAAATGAGCTTGATCAATTATTACTTTTAGTTTCATTGAAAAAGCTATTAACTTAATTAGCAATTCAAAACAATGAAACTTTTTTGGGCCAATTCTACATGCATTCTTTGAGAGCTCTGCGTAAAATGAGCAACCAAACCCGTCTTCATTAATCAGCCTGTTTACAAAAAATTAGCTCTGAGCTAGATGATTCATTGAAACTTTGAATATGTGTAACATATTCCATACTGTGCATTGAGTTGCAAAGAAAATCTATTCACAAAACTGAATAAATTTTTTTGCCACAAATTGTTCTTTCAATCGATGATTTTTTGAAATATTTCAAAGTATTTCATTGTGAACTGTTTCGAAAAATTTTCCAAAGCAAGCCATTCTAGCGATTGCAACTTAGAAATATTTCATGTGCTTCTAACTTTCAAATTGATTCCCAAAATGTTTTTATTACTACAAATTGATTCGCATAAAGCTCAAACTTCTCTAAGCGTTAAAATTTCTAAAATGAGTCAACTTCTTTCATAGTAAATCGATCCGCAAATAGCTCAACTTTAATTTTGCTAAGCAAGCCATTTAAGCATTCACTCTGGAAGTTTTTGTTACTTCAAACGCTAAATGTTTTGCAAAATAATAGTGTTTCAGAGCAAGCCATCCAAGCAATAAATTCCGAAAATTTTAAGATTAGTTCATACCGCGATTGATTTGAAAAAAAACTTATGTATTTATTAGCAAGCCATTCAATCGTTGAAATTTTTTAAATAATTGGCTTGCCAACTGGTAAAAAAAAATGAGATGATCAATTTCTGTTAAAAAAACAAAGGAGCCGAGGCTTCCTGCAGGAAACATCATCAGAACCGGTTCATATCGTAACAAAAACTTTTCAAGCAATTTTATGAACAGTACCCCTTCAAACATTTCGACAAAAAGAAAAAGAAAATTTAGTTCTCACGAGATACTGGTTATAAACAACTCAGCATTATATATAAAACAAACACCTCTGAGAGGACAGCCAACGAACCCGCTTGGGTTGCACACGGCTGCCCTTTACACAAAATCGACATTAGCAAACTTAACATTCAATTTTTTAGTCCGTAACAAAACAATTTAATGCAAAATTAGAAAGTTGAAAGTCGTCTGGTAATAATTATTCAAGTTAGACCTTATTTTCGAATTCTCGCAATTGAGGCTCTTATGGTTAGCTGAACATTTTAACTACCTGCCGTCTGAGCATTCCCATCACGTATGCTTTAGTTTATGTCCCAGGATAACTCTTTTTACCAGAATTTCACGCAAAAAAATTATTTGGCTCTGAAACTTGCTTGTCGTAGGCCCTCGTTCCCGGTTTAATTAAATTTCTTGTTCACTTTTCAATTAATGCTTCTATTAACTGTGCTATGTATCTATAGACTCCATAACACCCGCAGGGCAGGATGGAGTCTTTTTAGACAGCAGACACCTAACTGAGCCCATGCGGCAGTAACCAGTCAACAAGTTTGAGATGGGCTTCAGTTTATAAGATACCAACTGAACCCACACTAATTGATATGCAACAACTAGTTTGGATATAAGCATATTAGTTTGGATAAAGGTATTTTCATAAACTATTTTTTTGATGATCTGTTGTTTCGATTATACACAATGAAGTCAAATAAAGTATTTAAATGACCACTCGCATGCAGTTTGACCAAAGATCGAAACAGAAACTTCAAGAGTTCGTAAACATATAGCTCACGAACAGTTAAAACTCCTTCTGTGCCTAAAAAGATGTAACTCTTTCTAGATTTTTCATAAAAAATATGGTACGAAATATCTTCTTTTGTAAATTGAGGATGAGTAAACGGGCATTGTAGCTTACACAGCCAAAAATGAGGATACCGTATAGAATGATAGATTTAACATTTGTATCATAGTAATGCAGTAACACCTTTCGAGGAACATAATGCCTAATTTTAGAAAGGATCCCGCATTGGCGACGCAGCTTTGCATGAACAGTTTCGATGTGGTTACGAAAATTAAACTTGGATTCTAGTATTATTCGCAGGATTTGCAGGATATCTTTTCGGGAATTTTCCAGCTATCAACAAATATTGGAATGCTAGAATTGCTTTTGTTTGTTATATTAACTAGTACTGTTTTTTCAAAGTTTAGACTTAATTAATTTGGCTTTAAAACTAAAAGATTTTATCGATATCACTGTCAACTTCTTGAATCCCGCAAGATTACCCATTAATGTTTGTATCGTCGGCAAATAGAAAAACTTCACAGCTTTTACATGATATTGGAAGATCATTAATATAAATCGGAAACAGTAATGGATCAAGTATTGAGCCTCGGGGAACTCAGCAATAAATTTTT